CACTCTATGCCCTAACCACTAGGCCACTCTATGCCCTAACAGCTAGGCCGCTCTATGCCCTAACCACTAGGCCACTCTATGCCCTAACCGCTAGGCCGCTCTATGCCCTAACCACTAGGCCGCTCTATGCCCTAACCGCTAGGCCGCTCTATGCCCTAACCGCTAGGCCACTCTATGCCCTAACCACTAGGCCACTCTATGCCCTAACCACTAGGCCACTCTATGCCCTAACCACTAGGCCACTCTATGCCCTAACCACTAGGCCACTCTATGCCCTAACCTCTATGCCCACCCAGATAATGTTGCTTACGGGCCTATTGTTGTGTCGTTACGCCATTGCTCCTATCTTTAGCATTGAAGAGGAGCTACTGCACATGGACAGCTTTTAACCTGAGTCTATAAGGGAAGAATTATAGAAATATGTCACAAATCTGATGACCAACCAAACAGCTTTACTTGTCATTAAAGATTAAGCATTTATCTTGCACATCTAAAAAATATATAAATATATATTGAAATTCTTATCATTTTATTTTTATTTGTTTTTAAATTTTTTAATGATGGTCAATGGGTGAGTGGGGCGGCACCCACTATTGGCCAGCCCCCAATGGTTCAACTAACAATCTCATAACCAAAAAGACAAAGAAATGGAAAATAGAACTATAGAAGTAAAATGAACTGCTTTAATTTTAGCATAAGACTATAAATACAATCAATTTTCGTGGTGCTGATTTAGATATTGTGTTTTTTTTCTCCTTACTGGTGCTGGTGGCCTGACATCCTCCGTAACCCTCTGCCAAACAACGCCTACTGCCTACATGGTTCCTCCCGTCTTGCTCCACTCCGAGATCCTCAGAGCTCGAGTAGTTTTTGTTAATTGATAGAAGCACAATATGAGTTAATGATGTCATTAAAACTCACCATTACTAACACTTTCCAGCCCAAATAATTTCTTTTCATTGCCTCTTCCTACAAACTCGGTTTGTTCTTCTAACAACATCAGTGTCTCTTCCTCCATCCCTGCGATAGGAAGTTTCTCTGGAAGTTGTGAGATTAGCCCTTGGTAGGTTTTGCTACTGGATTTGACCAAAGTTTCAAGCCTTTCAGCAAAAAATAAATAGTTGGATTGAGATGACAAATAGAACCAATAGTTTCTACCAGCTTCAGTCTGTGAGGCAGACAGCCTGTCTACTTTTAAAACTTGTGCTTCTATAGAACCATTTCCATTCCCCTTTTAAAACCGTGCAGAGAACGGTCCGATACTGTTGACAAGTGCTAGTTCTTCAGTAGGGCTCGGCATGGTTCATCTATGACTCAGTTCCCTGATAACAGAGCGCATCAGCAGACCGCATCATCTCCTATTTACAGTCAGCTGACTCATTTCGCTGGTTTTCCAGCGTGTTGGACTTTGCTATTCATAGATCTTTTCACTTGTTCACAACACAAACATCTTCTCAGCTTATTAATAATAAATGGCATCAGAAGAGCGTGGTGTGGCCTGGGATGATGCTGAGACCAAGGTTCTCGGGCGCCGCCATAAGAGGCATGGACCCATGCTAGCGTGATGTGTAAATGGTCGTAAGGAACCAAGCTCAGCGCAGCAAACTGATCGGAGCTCGGTCTGAATTCGGAACGAATCGATTTCAGAGGGTTAATGTAAATGGGGCATATGTCCCTCTTGTATGTCTCCTTGAACTCGCTCAGCCTCAGCAGATGGCCGCTCACCCTGAGCCTGCTTCTGGCTCTGCTGGAGGTTTCTTCCTGTTAAAACTGTGGTTTTCCTCTCCACTGTCACTATATGCATGTTTAGAGTGAAGAATGCTGTAAAGTAAATGACACAATGCAAGTGAATATCTCTTTATGTTGGTCCAGGAGGAGAGAACCCAGCAGGTCAATGACTTCCTTAGGTCTTCCTTAGTTAGATTATGGTAAACAGCGTGTTCTATTGTATGGTGCTTTTTCAAGTAGAGAGATGACCAAAGCTGTCTTGAGTTTTCAACCTTTGTCTGCCATGGATCATTTAGGATGTGGAAATAGTAGCAAGCTTTTGGAAATCGGAGAGAGATTTCCTCCAGGGATTGCACCCGGGGTGGGGATGGTTCTTAATGCTAACTGCACGGGTTCAAAATGTCAAATCCTGCTGCTTTAAAAGAGAAGTCCGGTCAGTGAGGAATAATCAATGGATCATTATTTATACCTAAAACTAACATGTTCAATGTATAATGATTTTAGCGTTAATCAGTGAAAGAATAAAAAGGAGCAGCCATTTTTGCTGAGTTATTCCACCTTTCTGATTCCTGATCCTCCACGGACGGGTTGGTCGTTGGATCGCCAACTTGAAGAGGGAGGATTTGCCATCGAACTTCTGGCCAGAGAAAAAACCCGTAATATGTAGCCAACATTTGGAAGAAGAATGTTTTCAAGATGACTTGGATAATAGCGCGTTGTGACAAACACCAGATACAGCACTGGGACTTGATCAACAGCCGATACCGCACCGTGACAATGTCACTAACCAGTAGGTGGCAGTAGTGTTCTTTGACAAACATGGATGCCTCCAGTAAAGCACATTCACATGAAAATTACTCTGAATTAGAAACACTGATCATTTATTGAACAGGATGGAATCATTTCAGATTTAAAGAACTTTCAGAAGTTTGAATTCTGATTATTAGCAGACTTTTCCTTTAAAGCAACAGGAACGCGGATAGAGGCCCCTCTACCTCTAATCTCAATAATCACTGACTGTTGAGGAAGGCTAGAAAATGGCCGTTACATGATTTCTATTCTGTTTCTAACATTTTAAATAATTTTAGTAAAATAATTTAACTTTATTGAACTCACAATAGATAAAATGGTAAATGGCCTGTACTTATATAGCACCTTTATTCAAGTCAGGAGACTTGACCAAAGCGCTTTACACTACATTCATGGCTACATTGTAGCCACAGCCGCCCTGGGGCTCACTGACAGAAGCAGGGCTGCCGTACACTGGCTTCAACCGCCAATCCTTCGATTTCAGGGCAAACTCCTGCATCCAATGCCACTGTTGCCCTCTCTAAATTCCCTCTCTGCATTTAACCCATCCCCTTAGGGAGCAGTGGGCTGCCATTGTGCAGCTCCCGGGGAGCAGTGTGGGGTTAAGGGTCTTGGGAACCTAGGAGGCAGTGGGGATCGAACCGGGTACTTGCAACCCTCTCAGAGCACCACTCTAACCTCTATGGGGTAAAATGCCAGGAGGGTTGTGGATAAGCAGTCAGGCCTCCTCAGTCTGTCTGACGAACTGCTGCCGACACAATCCAACTCATTTCTCTTTTGACAGGAAAGAAGCTTTGGTTTGGAAATGAACCAGATTATTTTATTCAGTTAATTTGCAAGTTAAGGTGGAAAGCTAAAAGTGTGGAGTAACATTCCCGTTAGAGAACAGGATGGAAACATGAGTGAATAACCTGGTCAATAATTCATTTATAATATTAGCAAAATATTCAAGAAGTGATATTATTTCTTAATATAAGCATAAACACACATTTATATGTTTCTACTAAATTCATTTGTTATAAATCTCCTTTCCTCTTTAATATTTTAATGACTGAATTGAAAAATTGGATTTAAATACGGCTCATCTTCATCATCTCAGGTGGACGGTCGTAAAATTGATCTCTTGAAAAATCTTAAGCTGGAAAGTAAAAAAAAACCTTGAGATAAATCCATAAACCAGCAGACTGCTGTCATCAGTGCTGTTCTCACCAACTATTAAACACAGATGTCACAGAAAACATGATAAAAAATCTGAATCATCACACATTTAGCAGAAGGAATCTGATTTTATTCAAAGCAGCTGGATTATTTCAGCCATTTTTAAATCAAAATAAAGACTAATATTCTTACTGTAGGTCTGCAGAAACATTAAAGCTGTATATGAATTATAACCAAATCCACTAATTAGTTTTCATTTCTGACTCAAGTTTGTTTTAATCTGATATCTTAGCATTTCTGGGGGCTATATATAAATTTGGATTGAATAGTTTTGTGTTGATTATAATTTCTATTTTATGAAAACCCTAAAAATGAATATAGTTGGAGAGTTTTGCAATTGTTTTATGTCCTACCCTGCTAGATGAAACAATTCTGTTAAAGTAACTAAATATTATTGAGTAAATACCAAAAACGGATGGATTATTGTTTTCATCCTGTTTTTGGGGTTTAAGCAAATAGAACTTAATGAAACCAGAATGATTTTCAGCACCTAGAAGCAGCTGCTGATGCTGATCTGCACACATGAATGAAAAGAGGCAGATCAGGTGATGCAGCTTCACCTCATCCAGCAGCAGCAGGGAGGTCTGCTGACGGAGATGCTCCTGATCAAACCTCCAGGTTTAGATAGAAATCTGCTTCTCTGCCCAGCAGGATGCAGCTGCAGCAGGAAGAGGCAGCATGCAGCTGCGCGCGCGCCGAAACAAAACAAATGCCTCTTTAACTGCCGCATGCATGCGATGCATCTGATGATACTCAGCCTCTCTGATGGAGGCGAGATTCATTAAAAAATTACAGGTTTATCAAGATCCTCTCTAAAGCGAGATAAACCTAAATCCTTTTTTTTTTTTTGAAATATTAATTCTAATTTCTTTGTAGAATAAAATCCCAACCCAGAACAGCTTCTTCCTGACATATTTCTATCCCAGCGGATGGATGCTGCTCAGGCTGAGGAGCGAAGTTAAAGATATTAAAATGAGGAAAAGATGAGTCTGAGTTGCATGAGAGGCGGGAGGATGTGGTTTAACTGGCGCTGCTGGATGCTGAGTTGGAAGGAGTGAAAATGCTGCAATGCTCAGATACATTTAAATCCTGTTTTTGCAAAAGGAATCTGCTCCCCAGCGCTGCCATCACGCATCGGGCACGAAACGCCCAAACCAGAGGCTGGAATGCTCCGCAGACAGCAGCCATGCCACGGCTCTGGCTCACACTGACAAACAGAAGCAACAGGCGACATCAGAGCTCACCTGCTGGCAGCCTACACCCGGCCGCCCGGCTGCTGGGGGAGGAAGGTGCTCTTCACAGGAAGGAGCTCACACAGCTTTGCAGGAAGCCTGGTCCTCCAGCTGCTCTGCTCCTCCTCGGTGCGTCTGCATGTTTCACTCCGTTCCTCTCACTATAAATCACCGCAGCGGAGTAAATGGCAGGCAGGGAGGGGTTGGCACCGTGTGACAGAGACGACCTGATCTCCAGGTTTCCCTTCACCACCGAGCAGCCAGCGCCTTCTCCCAGTTAGACCCAGTTCAGCCCAAAGAAGAAGGAACTTAAAGCCCAGATTGATTCTGCAGAGGCTGAGATCAATCAGCAGGGGCGGTTCATGCATCACCGCCGCCCAGGGCAACCCCCCACCACCCATGGAAAAACTGCAGGTCTATGAACTGCCATCACTGTTCCTACAGTTAAAAACAAAAAACATGAAGGAATAAATAGGAATTTATTTCAGACAAATCTTGTCAAATAATAAATGAATCATCCAATTACACACAACAAATTTCAAAACTAACTAAATTAACAGAAACAAAAGGCTGCACCAAAGAAACCTGTCAGTAGAAACAGCTGAAGAAATGACATCGATTAAAGGAAAAGTCGCTCATATTCAGAATTAAAACTCCTGAAAGTCCTTTAAACATTAAATTATTACATCCTGTTCAATAAATGATATTTGGGCAAAAATGGCCGCTCTCAAATTCAGTAATTGCAACGAAAATTATTTTTTTTATTTTTTTACTGATTAACTCTAAATTCATTAAATCACTTTGAACATATTAGTTTTAGGTATAAATAATGATCCATTGATTATTCCTTGTCAAATTGAACTATTTAATTAAATAAAGGCAAGTAAAAGACAAGGGCCTCATTATGAACACTCAAAAATAACGTTATTTTTAATTAAGTTATCCAATACTAATCCTGAAGTAATGTAACTTAAAACTTCTCAAACTTAAAGGATCAAATTTGAACCTAAATAAAACACCCAGTATACTTTCTGGAAAGGAGGCGTGGCCTCTCCTTGTCATGATTCCAAGGATCTGCTAGACTCTTAAGCCAGTCGCAAACACAGATTGAAAGAATCTTTAATTAGGAAATCAAAGCGGTTCTCAAACATCAAACTGACATCAGGAACCAGGAAACACTTCAGGATCTCCAACACCGTGGAAGAGATGAAAGGTAAGTTTGGTGGAAGGAAGATCTCAATATTCAAAGGCTTGGTTAGGCCTGCTTTGTATGGGGTTCCATTTATGCCACAAATGTGTTCCAGCGTGTTGTGAAGTGTCCATTTGTCGATTTAAGGATTTTTTTCTGACATGCTCACGTAACAGAAGCTGTATTTCTAACAGGTAGTTGTTTATATATCAGAAGGAAATGTTGTGTCCATGTGAAGTTTTACGTACAGATGATGATTTTTTCACTTTTTCCTCATAGTGTGTTGTTTGACACAGGGGCGGATTTAGCAAATGTGGGGCCCTAGGCAAAGACAGGCAGGGGCCCCTCTGAATGGAGAAGAAAACACATAAACAGCCCCATTCTCCAGATAGAGAAATGTTAATAGAATAGACATCCATTCTCTGTTCTAGGTTGTGTCCCTCTCTTCTTGTCCCTTTTCTTCTTGTTTTCCTCTCTATGTTTTGTACTCAGCTGACTTTTCATGCTGTCTCTAAAGGAATGAAAGATTTTTTCCAAGCACTAAGCTCACTTAGCTGATTGCTCCTTCCTGTGTTTCCAAAAAGGCCAAAGTAAATAACCCAGTCCTTCTTTTCACTGTAGACAAGCCATGATCTGCTTATCTGTTCTCCATTTTTCATTTGGATGAAATAATAGCTGCATGAATCATGACAGCAGACAAGATAGAGGAGAGCAGGAGGCGGGGTTACCAATCTACTGGCTCTGGAGAGCAGAGTTCGCTGCTTTTAGATGTTGTCTCCAAAGTCTCCAGTAGCAGAAAAAAGTCTCTAGATTTGGCGCTAGGAGCTTTTTAGAAATCAAAGTGCTAGAGGGGTCTGAAAAGTGGCTAAATATAGCGACTAAAGCGCTAAGTTGGCAACACTGCTCTTTGCATGGTTTGTTTTCAAATGGTTTGCTGCTGTCTGTTTGGACCTTTCTGAACATGTGCAGCAAATGGACTGATCCAATATGGTGGACACTGAAGGGGGGGGCTGAGACACACTTAATATTATCAGCGTTCTGATGGCATTTTAGCCAAAGGATTTTTATCAAAAACAGAATTAATGTGCAGAAATAAGGAATAGTTGTATTAACCATACATGGAAACAGAGTTTTATGGGGCCCCCAGGAACTCCTCCTAACTAACTGTCAATCATTCTGGTGATGTGTTTACGTAAGGCCGTCCTACGTGCTCGTCCCGTTAGCCATCTTTTCTTGCACACCTTCAGGCGTATATTTTCTGGTGAGCTACGGTTTCAGACAGTCATTGAAGCTCGCCTTTCTCACCGCGGTTCTTTGAAAATGGCCGAGAGTCAGAAGAGAAAAAGTGTCAACCAAGTGGATGAGAAGAAAACAAAGGCGACTAATAACAAAGATGGCGCAGGCACCGCGCGGTTAGAGGAGGAGTTAGGTGACCAACGGATTGTTAGGATTGGGTTAAATGCAGAGAGGTACATTTCCTCAGTGTGAGATCAATAAAGTTCAGTTATTATTATGCAGAGTCTCAATACGGATATATAAACAAAGTTGTGTGTATTCGTGTGTGTGTGTAATGTTTGCTGTTTTTTCTCCCACAGCTCGTTAGCATGATGAAGACAGAGACTAGCATACCTGTAAGCTATGAACAAGGTTCTAGATATTTATATGGAACAATCAGGAATTCATTTAGAAGCTACAGCTAAAGTTATTTTGCTCATATAGAAACTGAGTGGAATATTTTACTTTGGCAGCTAATAAATAAGAAAAGATGAGATTATTGTTCCTCCGTTTCACCTGCTGATCTCATCTCAGCTCTCTGGCAAAGATCTCACCTCACTGCTTCCAGCTTATTTCCCACTGATGGGAAAAGGCACACCTTCTGTGTTACAGTTAATTAACACTTTGCAGGGCGGAAACATGCTGCAGTCAAGTGCCTGAGTTGCATTAGGATCTGCAATTAAAAATAAAGAAATGCAAATGAACTTCTGAGGTGGGGGGGGGGGGGGTTCACTCTAGCAGCAACAACAAGAGTAACTACCCAGTGAAAAACAACAGAGGAAACAGGGTGTCTGAGATCCCATATAGATTGCTTTGCTTTGATTGGAAATCCATGTTAGTTCCCAGGGAACATGTTTTATTAAAATTAACTTACAGTCATAATAAATAAAACCTTCCCTGACTGTTGAAACAATCTGGATCACAGAACTAGGAATAAAAATGGGGGGCCTGGGCTGGATCAGGCTGCCCCCCCTGATAGGTGGTGTATTAGCCGCTACATGGCCCATAGTGACAGCTGCAGCTGTGGCCTCCCATACTGGCTTCATCATTAATAACTCTGAAATGCTTGCACACTTTCAACATTCCAGTAAGGCTCTGAATGAAGGCCCTATAATGGGGGTTAGTACGTTGTCAAGATGGTGGTTTATGTAATAATAATTGACATCATTTGACCAAATAAGACCTCAGAAAGAGTCACTTTGCTCTGTGAAATGTTCTCCTGCACTCACACATAATCTATGTTCTCTCACTGTTTTTATTGGCGTTTTAAATTCATTGTTTGGTTCCTTTCCAGACTTTTCATTGAATTTTTTTCAATGCACTTATAGATCGGTTTTATTTTCTTTCTTGCTTGGAAACAGGTTTAAAAATAAACTTTACATATCTACTGCTGATTCTTTGCCCTAAACATACAGGGTTGGTCGTATCTTAAGGATTTACACTCACTGAATTAACTTTATTCTGATTATTATATTTTTTCTTTTATCTATTGGTGAACAATACATATAATCTACCAGGTAAATTATCTAAAGTCTTTCATTTAATAAAGTCTCATAACTATTAAGCACCAAGTGATAGCTGTCATTATTCTTGCCACTAGTACTGGTCTGATTCAGCATTCAACACACCTGTCAGCTCCACCCTGTTTCCAATCAGCCTTCATCAGATCCACCTGCTCACCTGGATATATAACAGCTCTCAGTCACTGGTTCCAGATTATTAAGAGCCATCGGTGAGTTTTATCCAGCGTTCCTGTAGTGATGACCAAGTGAGACTTTTTGAAGCATTGAATCATTTTGATCTATTGTGACTTCAAGTGATTCACTACCTGAAGTTTCATTCAGTTCCGTTGGGGGGACATCTGCTGGCAGTAGTGTTTGTTGCACGTAATGGGAAAAAAGTATTCAACTATTCACCTTAATTAAATAAACGGAGATCAGTGGACTTCAATCAGTCGGCACTTTATTTCTAATATCTTTGCAAAGAGAGAACAGTTCATCAAACTGGCCTTGCTGCTCTGCATTCAGCCTGTTCTGCCTGAGCAGCATTCGTTCCTCCTTACTTACAACAATGGAAAAGTAGTCAGAGTCAAATTAGACACTTTGGTTAAACAGTAACATGTTTTGAATAAACCTTGACAAATAATCTGGCATGTTTTGGGAAGAAGGTATGTTGGTCTACAAACACCCTTACAGGGGGGGAAATGTGATGGATCAAGCTGTGTATAATAAATATTATGTATTTGCAGTTTATGTATTTAAAGGGAACGCCGGGTTTTTTTCCATTGGGTCCTTGATTTTCCGTTATTCCATCATGTTCTACTCACCCATATGAATTTAGTGTCATTTGGAGCCATTCTGAAGATATTCCGTTAGTATATATCCAGTAACGTCTTCCTATGGGCAACGACTTGAAGGCACAAACTGAACTGTTCGTAATGGCCAGATAGGCCTCCTTCTTCAGCTTGACGGGGTTAATTCTTCGTAGCGCCACCTTCTGCAGTGATCACAGCAGCAGATCCGTTGGGGTTTGTCTCTATCAGTTTTGCACATCTGGAGCTTGGTGAGGTTGGATGTAGAGCGTTTGTGAAAAGCAGCTTTCAGGTCTTTCCACAGATTCTCGGTTAGATTCAGGTCTGGACTTTGACTAGGCCATTCTAACACCTGGATGTGTTTCTCTGTTAACCGTTCCATCTTAGCTGCTGCTTTCTGTTTCTGATCATCATCTTGTTGGAAGATAAATCTCTGTCCCAGTCTCTGGTCTCCTGCAGACTCCAGCAGGTTTTCTTCCAGAATGCTCCTGAGTTTGTCTCCGTCCATCTTCCCATCAACTTCATCCATCTTCCCTGTCCCTGCTGAAGAAAAGCAGATCCAAACCATGATGCTGCCACCACCATGTCTG